ATAGATCCTTCCAATCGGAATGGCGAACATTCCATAAAGATTGGTGTCAGGGTATTTAAGGAACGTGAGGAGGTCACCCATTGAAAATATTCCAGCGAAAAGACCTGTCTGGATTGCTCCTCGTATCAAACGATTGAGCACTGTATCGGTCTTCTGGAATCCTGTCCTTGACCGGAACAGAATGAATGCAAGGGTGACTAGGGTGTACAGGTGTGGTGAAATTGATATTACTTGGCGCGAGGAATCAAGATATACTTACTTGTTATAAGCATATCAACGCCTACTTGCATACCCAACCACGCAGAAACTAGATTGCTGATCGAAGGCAGTTCTACGAGGCTATTTTGTGAGAAAAAAGAAAGATCAGATACATCGGATTGCGGAAGAAGACATTTGAATCATACACTGCGATTATCCATGCCTTGATTCCGCAAGCCATCCCGAGAGCAAACGAGGGAATAGCTAAAAGTAAAATAATTCCGTAAATGATCCAACTATGAGTGAGCCTCATGATCCTGCGGGCTTTCAGAATCAATCAAATGAGAAAGCGTAGTTACGTCGAAGGACACACCTATAGCCGAGAAACATTTGAGTGGTCAATGCAGCAAGAGCGGTGGCAATTGGAGTGAAGGTGTACGGCCATAAAGCAACTAAATCAAAGTCAAAATTAGATTCGATCAACCGTGTATTCATATGGGAGAATTCAGCGATTTGAATGTACCAGTCAGTGCATCCGGCGCGTTGTAGTTGGTAACGCTGTTTGCAGTCAAACAACGATTAGGATTGAAGACAAAGCAGATGCCTTGAATACCCACCAATAGACGTATAACATGTATATAACGCTAGACCAATGTAAGGTGAGAGAATTGCTGGGACATCAAGCAGGGTAAACTTACGATATACTATGCACGGTGTCGACGAGGAAAAGTATTATCACCATTACCCTATTGTTAAAATCAGTCGTTTAACGACAACCGAGACAGTCGATTACTGCTCGTACTTCAATAGAATAGGATCATTAAATTCTATATCAATCCCCATGAGGTTAAGGAATGCCACGACCGAGAGTTAAGCCAACTCACTTGTTCGCCAGTAGGTCAGAAATTGGAAGGTGACAAGGCCATAGAGATAGGTATTAACTGCATTATGGATAGATGTATCAACATTCACAATTAGATGATCATATACCAGGTTCTAATTGAACACTCACAGACTATACCTATCAAAAGAGTACCTAATTCGAAATAGCACCGTCAGTAAAAGAACGACAAGCATACACAAAAATAAGCCATTAAGTACCTATCGTTTTATCGAATTCGCCCATCGCATCGACGGATGATTCGATATCTGCAAAAAAGCAAGGTTTTGAAAAAAGTGGCGGGCAGATACAGGACCCATCCAGAGAGCTCTTCAGATTATATATAAACAAGGGATCGTGGATCGTGAAGAGAGTCTTTAGAAGCGGAATCCCACGTCGGAGCATCGGAAATGCGTCTTTTCTCCTCCACCGATTCTCATTCATTCCATAGGTAGTACGATTGAAGTACCAGGAAGCAGGAAGACAGCAATTCCAAGTAGATTTGGTTGCCAACCGGAGTAAGACGAATGGGTATGTGGTAAAGGGGCCAAATTGAGGCGTGCCGATGGACTCGGAAACGTAATGTTCAAACTGGTTTGCTTGGTTTGAATGGAGATTGTTGTCTTGTATAGCGAAACTCCATATATATTGAGCGCTACTACTGCGTGAGTGTGCTCTGGCCTGAGATGACGATATCACGGTAAGATGGATTATTGAGTTCTGATGGGAAATGAAGCCAAGGAAAAAGTACCTTCGCCTGTGTCAAGTTGTAATTGTTTCAAAAAGTCTGTATAATTGCATGATGATGCACGAATACTCACCTCAGAATAGAATAGAATATACTGCAACTTGGGACAAGCAGAATTGCGGACTTTCTTTGTCGGTTTTGGAGTGGTCAACTTGAACGGAAGCTTGTCAGGGACGGCTCCATATTGCATGTGTCAAAAGGTCAAGCTAGAAGCAAAATAATCTCGTAACGCCGCGCGGTAAACACCGTCAGTAGTTGCCAATAACCGCTGTCAGCACGGGTAGAAAAACATAGTGATCGGATAGTAGCGACAAGTCACTAGTCACTTCTTCAACTCTATCTCGTAATTGAAGTTCTTGAGTTCATGGTTTGTTCGACGCTTCACTCACACATCTTTTGGATGTATTTTTGATTGAATTAAATGGTCAACTTTGCGCAATCCATGGTATCTTCGACCCACGTAGACGGTTGGCGTATTGACACAGTCCCAGAGTATCTAGACTATCGATGCTTGAGCATGCTTGTCAGAAACCGTCAATACCCACGCTATAACCGATAGGGAAGGACTCACTTGATATGCATTTCACGTCTCTGTCAGGTGGAATGGGGCTCGAAATTAAATGGAATCCAGACATCCATATTAATAAGACTATAAATCGACAGGGAAAGACGTCACAGGTCACAGATATATCCATTGACAACTTTGTAAACCAATTGAGCAGCCGCCAGTGGGAATAATCTTGCAAGATGGCGCAGCAAATTCCGTTCGAGATTTGGCACAATGCAGAATGGATACTAAGAAAGTTCCTTTCTCAATCGAGTCACAGAAGGAACACACATACAAATTCGTTGTCAACTAAAGATGAATTTAGACTTGGAAGATGAAAAGGGTCAGTCAATATGGATGTAAAAGATCTGAATAAAGAAAAATCATACCTCCCAATAAACTCGAAACGTCCAAAAGTAACGGACAGATCTTCCTCAAGGAACAGATTCCAACCAAGCAATCTCAGCTGACTTGGGTATAGTATCCAACAAAGAAACCTTTGAGGATTCTTCAGGGACCCAACCAAACTTCGTCGTTAATCTTTCAGGTATGACTGCTTGATTTCCACCTAGAAGCGACCATCCATCTTGAATATCAAGGATAAGGGGTCGATGTGATGCGAGGGATTGACAAATTGGCGAGTTCAGTAAGTATGTGAGGGAGAACGGAGGAAATGAACTTACAGTGTCCTAGGGATTCCACTATTTCATTGGGCATAGGTCTTGTTCCAGGAGATTTTACGAGCCCTTTGCTATGTAAATGCTACGATAGTTTTATACGAGTCGTGAGGATGGGTTTGTATGGCAGGAAGACTGGAAAGAGAGAGGATCGCTCACATTTCCCATAACTTCTGTCCATTCTCGATACGCAATTTTTGGTTGCATGCTCCCGCAGAAATCTACGAGAGAAAGATCACAATTCAATTTCATCAAAAGGAACAAAATAAAAAAAAAGGACTCACAAAGCCCTTCAGCACCTTCATCCGCTTTCCCTTCCAATGCAGCTTTGAGGATAATCCCAAGAGCAGAAACGACATCTTTGACGTGAACATTGTTCATCGTGTTATACCCTTTACCCCATGTACCAGCATATCCAAGTTGTTTAGCGTAAGCTATAAAGAAACGAAGCCAAAGAGTTGATCTTTGAATGCCTATAGATGCCAATACAAAACTCAGTTTTCCGACTATCTCGACATCGTCAAGAATGATTTGGATACCTTCTCCAATCCCGTATATCTTATAACGATCCGAAAGTAAGGTCAACTGTCATCATAGATAGAGAGAGTGAGGGGCGCATACCTGTGAGGGATACAAAATCAATGTTCGGATTGGATTCTCTTTGCGAGTTCCAGCTTCTACAATCTAAGCAGTGGAACATAATTCGACGTCAGTTGCGCTATTTTGAATGATTTTTAACGATTCATTCTGACCGGAATATCGGAATCAAGATGCGTATTTGTCGGGTCGCAGCTGTTATAAGAGAGGGAAGAGATTAATTGGAAAATCGGAGAGATACAACGGAAAGCACAATGAGAACTTACCTCTTCAAATCAAGCCCGATGTCTGACCATTCCCTCAAGACTTCCACCGGTTCTCCACGAACATTATCACTAACAATACCACAACCCGAAACATGGATGTATATCGGAGGATTACCAGGTCTAGCAGCGGAGCTCTTTTCTAAGCCATCGAGCGTTGCTATTAAGAAACATTAAAAGACATCATTAAGCTTCAAGTATGAAACGAAAGATAAAATTTACATTTTACACTCGGCCAGTGGTCCGAACTCGCACAATTTATGATGATATCATGTTTCTGAACTTGCTCTTGGATAAGACTATCATCATCCAAGGTGCCTTCGACGACTTGTATCTCTGGGTGAAGTCTCTTTAATCCTGATAATCGATCTGGAGTTAGGTTCCGTACTAGGGCTGTGACTGGATGCGTAGGGAAAGATCGAGAGAGATGAATCAAGAATTCGCCACCAAGGTAACCTGTTGCGCCAAAAAGAAAAATACTAGGAGATGTCTCCGCCATGATGTTCGTGTCTTGAAACGTCCGGAAAAGACTGGAGATCCAAGCTGGTACACTTGGAGCGATTTGATATCTAGGTCTTCATATATGTTCTGGTTGTCTTGGGCTTGGCTTTCTAATCCATAGGGACGATAGCGCAGGGTTCAGATGGAGTCTTGTGATTAGGTGCGGTTCCTGTACCAAACGGCATCTCATGGACAGAAGCTAAGAAGAATATAATTGATGAGAAATTTCCTCTCGTCACATTCCGTGGAATGTGAGTGTAACGGCAGTGCTAATTTGCATGAGAAGAATTTCTGAATTTTCCCTGATGTAGAGGTGTGTTGTGATTCTAGCCTACTGTGAAGTTCGATTATGACGCGGTGGGAGATGGCCTAACACGAGTTAGAAAGGCTTTGTAAAGTGGCCGATAATGCTTATTAGAAGGGTGGATGATTGAATCATGAACATGAGTAGAACTCACGGCGCCGTTGAATGCTTTCAAGTTGGTAAAAGAGAGCCTCTCGGAAAGAGTTGATTTTAAGGCAAGCTCGTAAATCGATATCACGTGATGTGCTTTGTTTCAATTTTCAACTACTTCCATTGGCGGATAAGTCCCGTTTAGCTCAGTTGGTAGAGCGCGTCACTAGTACTTTCCTATGACGAGGTCAGTCGTTCGAGTCGGCTAATGGGAATCTTTTTAATTTACAGTTCAAAGCCTGAAATACCGAGTTGTGGACTGTGAGACGATTTTTGAATTTTTGACAAACTCACAGTTGTGATTATATGACACCTGGGATATTGTGACAAGCCCTCTTTGTCTAATGGTTATGACGTCAGACTTCTAACGCATAACTGAGATCTGGAGGTTGCGAGTTCGAGTCTCGCAGGGGGTTAGTAGATATGCTTTTTTCACCTTTAACTTTTTAGCACCTATTTGTATTACTATTTACTACAAACCACACCAAGCGATAATATATTCCAGAGCAACGATGGGGGTAAGGGGAAATGACTCCCAGTGTGTATAAGAAATAAATAATCCAGTCATTGGATCTCCCAGAGGAGCAAGTATCAAAATCCATACAGCACACTGTACTAGTCCGAATTTAAGATCACAAAATGTAGCTACTCCTAGTTCTCGTTGCTGAAATGAATGAGTGCCCTATTTGTCAAGTAAAGCATCTCAGATTGAATTCGACGTTCGACATTCATGCGAATATCATCGGAGAGAGATATCAATAGTGGTTCGTCCAGCAATATACTGATACGTTGAAGAGATCTGTGTAGGAGTAGCGAAGTTTGTAAATCATGCCATGGAAGCATCTCGATCATGGTTGCATGGACAGTAGGTTCGACATTCGAGAGAGGTTGAAAGGATAGAATGAAATGTGTTAGAGTTGGTGACATATCGGTGACAGCGTTGATAATTGTGGTCCAACCAAAGTTGTGTGAGCTATCGAAAGTGAATGAGATGTTGAACTGAAGACGTCGAAGTCTTCTACAATCTCCGAACTTGAGTGCAACTTTGACGAGAGGACAGTCGTGAGTAAATAAGCCATCTCAAAGGCTAAGAAACGCACCGAGATTATTGTCGTATTGTGTGAAGTGAATTTGCATATGCGATAAGGTATCCCCACAATCATGAAGGATTTTGGTCGCATATTTAATCTCTGTTTCCGTGCCGCATAAACGGAAGGTGAAATGTGTAATCGCTCGAAGACGACGACACTTGTATAATCCTGGAATTATATCCCAGTCGCCCGTGAATACAGATACATCCATAATTGGAGTCCTAGGGGGTGGCGGTTTGAAAGGTCGATATGCTTGGGTGAATTTTGGAGTGGATTGATGGTAGACGTTCTTGACAAATAGAGTATCTAGGTTGGAGCAAAGACCCAAAACGTCGTATAAATCAAAGGGCTGACTCCAAAATTCGACGGAATCGAGATGAAGATTTCGAGTAGGACACGACGTCGACTGCAAAATCCGAGTAGTAGTAAGATCCCCTCGAAGATCCAGTTGAAAGAGCTTCAAGCTTTGCAGATTGTGAAGCTTTGACAATATGGAAAGCAGAATGCTCGCATCACAACGAACGATGATATCTCCCAGGGTATGAAATGAATTCGATGTACCAGTGAGGGTCAAATTTCGAATGAAAGGTCCAATACCGGAAGGTGTACTGAGTACTGTATTGAATGCATGGAAACCTTCGGACCGAGTCGATACTGGGAACGTGTGATATACGGACATAGTAGAGAAGAGGTGGAATCTGCATGATGAGAGCCAAGATCTACAGACAAGAGAACATCTGGACAGTGATGTCTTGTCGTTGTAAAGATGGTCCATCACTATATCGACAAGTTCAGGGTAGAGTGATGTGGAAGGATTATTTGTGTTGCTCCAATGCGAAAGTAGCTGAGTGACTGTGTGCATGACTGTTCAACGTTTAATGTCGGGGATCGAGGAAAATCGGTGAAGATGCAGAGAAGTCTCTGGGGTAAAGTATGCAACATCGGGACCAGTGTTGTTGCGGCAGTGGCCTGTTATGCAGTGTTGGTCCGTCAGAAATGTCAAGTGCGAGTCAGTGTCAGGTCAGTGCCTTGGACGCGCCAAACGCCAAAATTGTACCTAGTTGTAATTGTTGGTCTGGACGGTGAGTAACTATAGGTACAGAATGAAGTGAAAAGCTACTCAACATACCCCGTGTTGTATTCATTTTCGGAGTCCAGGAAGAGAAAACACTTTTGGGTAGTTCACGAGTAAGTGAATTGAGAAAGAATGAACACGAGAAGACACGCCAAAAGTCAGAGCGCCATATATTTTGCGAGACACGGGAAAACGACTGACTTTTTCGATACAACGGAGACTAAGCACAGATAGCATTGATTCAGAAATCGAAAGTTCGTCGAAACGATGAATGACGCACAAAAACCATGTCTGAATGAAACCGAAAGGCTTCACCGCAATGATGTGTAGGAAGGGTAACTTCAAATGATACGATGAATTTTGTCTTTGTCAAAATTTCAAAACTTGCGAAGGGGAGTTGAGGCTGGAAAAAGAACGGTACGGGAATGGGTTGAATAAATAGTATAGATAAGCAGCCCAAGAATGGTTGAACGAGGTGATGAGATGAGAGAGATGAAAATGAAGCAGAGAACGAAACAACAATGAATTTAAAAATCCATCGTAACAGCGTCGGAGATGTATGACCATCTCAAATGTAACCATGGTGGTGGTGATAATACTCTAATCCGTCAAAGGGATCTTTATCATTGTCTGTGATAGATCCACCCTGCGATGAGGCGAAAGAAAATGAATCCCGGCGATGGCGGAGTGGTTCATATTGGGAACAATACGAGTCCGGTCTGTGGATTGAAGAACAACCTGGAGAGCTCGTAAGGGTATGGTGTGTACCGGGTATCTTGGTACTCATACGGTTAAATGGAGCTGAACTTGACCCATCCTCAGCTAATGAAGATGGTGGTCTGTTCAAACCCGCAGCCTCTAGCAACGCAGTGATTTCATCCCTGCCTCTGTGAACATACTCATTCCCTTCCTGAGCACCGCGCCTTGCATCTTCCAAAGGATTAGATAATGAGTTATCGAGAGTTTCGGGAAGGGGTTGTTGAGACCCACTGGAACTGGAGTAAGACGATGGATCGCTTTCCTTCCTAAGACCTGCAACTCCGGTGACAGCACCAGGGCTACCTGACATGGTAGCACCTTCAGCTTGTCGAAGTTCGCATTGATATTGACTACTCCCTCTCGAGGCGATGTCATAGTAATTTGTAGCTTTAGCACCTATATCAACCGTTTTATGTACCGTCTGTGGCTGGGCGTAAGTTGCATGAGATAGATCTGAAAGATCTCGTTTCATTCCTATTAGGATTAAGTCACGGTAGTCGGCTCGGTATGCTCCATCATCATCGTCATCCCTGTTGAATCCTAACGATGTGGAGTTAGAAGTTGTCAAGTGCGCTTCCGTTGCATCGTCAGAGGTCTTGGCCCGTCGTTTGAGTGCGATTTTCACAAGAGCGATGATGACGATGAGAAAGATGAGTCCTATAGTTGCGAACACACCAGCTACCGCACTCTTGTTGTTGAGGAATCTGGAGTGGAAGAAAACCATTTTAGACTGGAATTCAAAATACGAAACGAACAAAGTGAAATGAGATGATTTCAAGCAAGGCGATGTTTGGTGATGTTGTGCAACTACTCACTCCCAGAACACTCTGAGCAGAAGCGGCGATATGCAAAGAAGAATGCACGATAGCTTCTTTAATCAGATGAGCTGCCAAAAGCAGAACAGTTCGTCAGGGTTCTGACATTATATAACTAACAATCAATCTCCATTTTCCATGGAGACCTCTCCCGGACCTTAGAAGACATCTCAACTGTCCAAGAAAGCATAAGATGCATGATTGAACAATGTTCGAAGTCGAAAAGAACAATCATAGAAAGGACAAAATGAATCTGGGGACACTCACGACTTGGAAGGTGGTTTGTTAGCATCAACGGCACCGGCAACAGTTGGTTTGCCTGTCGTTTCATGTATTGGAGATATTGTTGAAGCTGACGGATTTGTTTGTTGACTAGGGGTAGGGGAAGACACAATCAGAGGTGTCGTAGCAGAGTTACTTTGGGTGCTTGGCGGAATCCATGAGTACTGTTGATAATTTGGGCGGAATTGGGAAGAAATGGTATTCGAAGCGGTGATATGGGAGAGCATGATAATGGACGAATTGGTAGATAGTAGGCTAGAGGAGGTTGCAGCAGGTGCAGAATTCGATTCAGTGATAGTGGTATCAGGATTAGTTGAATTTGGGAAGTTAAACGTCGAGGTAGGTAATCTGTTTCATTCGAGTTCAATAAATGGTTAACCTAATACACAACAAAATGGACGGAACTCACAAGTGAGGTTTAGCAGGACCATGGACTTAAGATGCTGGAGTCTTCGTCAAAGATCTCTTTAAAGAATTACAACAGCTTACATTGGGTAACATTTAGATGCATTTTAGGTTATGGGTAAGGCGATTTCTTGGGCAGCGGAGTCTTGGTGGAAGGAGAGACGAAGAACAACTTCAAGCAGCGAAATTATAGCATATCTGTAGTCCTTCTCGAGCGCTGTGCTATTATGCTATAACATGAGAAATGCGACGAACAATGATGATTATCATTCACCTGAACATCTTCGAAAGAGATCCAGTATCAGAAGTATTTAACGTATGTACCTTGAAGTTATCGAGCCTATTATTACCGACTCGAATATCTTCTCGGTGGCTCACCAACTCACCGAAAATCAGTAATATCGTACTACGATCTGTAGACAATCTTCGCAACTTGTGAGAACGTATAATCCTCTAGACCTGTTCAGTTTTGTCAGTGTTTATTTTTTTGGCCCAGCAGTTTCATCACATACCGATTCGAAGTCTGAGATGCTTTACCGTGACAATGTCGACAAAAAATGGCTGCTTAGGACAAGTACTAGAATTGCGATTTGTCGCAAGCGTGATATCTTGAATGCTATACCTGTTCATCGTGGACAAGCGATATAAGGGAGCTTTCGTCTCACTTCTGGGGGCTGCGGCGGAGACGCCATGGAGGTTGAGGCAAGTTACTGTACGAGTACTTGTAAGTAGAGTACATACACAGTGATGCATCATGTGACATGTCATGTCACTGAACTCAGTCACTA